TCGTTGACCCAGTTGTGGTTCTTCCAGGTTGTTGCAAATGTTTTTTTGATATTTTCTTGTTCACGAGTCACAACAGCTCATTCTCTTGTTCGGCCAAGGACAGCAAGGTGAAGGGCTTCGAGCCTTTTCCAGGTCTTCCAACGTTTTCGACGCAAGAGCAGCTCTTGCCGCATTTGCATTCTCTAAATGCTCCCAGCTTAGTCGTGCTGTTGTGCTTCAGGTTTGCATTGTTAGTCAATGAATTTCAATGACCAGCCAATCACTACCACCGACTTCTTCTTGACTGGAAGAGTTTGAGGTAAGTGGGTGCCCTCTCAATGGCCATGTTGAGAATTTACTTCTGCCACTGGCGGGCAGTGGGCTTGCGATGATTGCGGCTTCAGGCTGTGGCCTTTCAGGAGCAGTACCAGACATAAGATCCATGGCGGCCGTGGTGGATAAGCTGACTTATGGAACATGGCTGAGCAATCTGGCTAAGACCCTACAAGTTCTGGACCTTTCCCACAATCGCATTGGCTCGCTGGCATCCTTGCCAGCGACGCTACGCATGGACCTTAGCCACAATGCAGCGCCCCTCTTAGTCATGGAGTCCGTATTCGTGGATGCTGTCCGAGATCGAGTCGATCTTTGGTTTGTTGACACTCAGTTGTCAAACGCCAATGACATGCAGAAGCTGATGTCCGCGGAGCTCAAGCTGCAGAAGGACTACTCCCGAATCAGAGATGGCTTCGCATGTCAAGAATTTCAAGAGCCGGTGCTGCAGGTCACGCCGGAGCTCTTCATGCCCGAGCAGATGTGTGCATGCCGTGCGGGTTACATGGGATCGGCCACCAACTGCTCCCCCTGCCTCGAAAACACCTACGCAAGCGCCACTGGGACTCTTCAAAGGAATTGTTTTAAACACTTGGGAGTAAGTGAGTAAGGAGGTGAAAGTGAAGAAGCAGTATCTTCTTGTGCACTTTCTGATTTTCCTTTCTCTTTCCTTTCTGATTGAGTTCATTGTCAAGGACCTGAACTCTCCATCATGCCTCCCATGTCCACCGCACAGCAAAGCCCCGAGCGCCTCCACCTCCCCAGCCGCCTGCGCATGCGAGTTTGGTACCGTCCAGAACAGCTCGGGCACATTGAGCTGCCAATGTCCTGAGGACAAAGCATTGGTGAACTCGCAAGCAGGGGCTGAACACTGCGCTTCGTGCCAGGCTCTTCACTTGCTTTGCCCCGCTGGAAGCAAGGCGAGCACGGCAAAAGTGCTCCAAGGCTATGCACGGCTGCAGGAGCCCTCGGAGAAGGTCTACAAATGCTTGGAGGCTGCGCGGTGCACGAGCTCAGGGTGTGCAGAAGGACAGGACATTTCTGGGATCGACAGGTATTCTATGACTCCACGAAGATGGATCGATGGTGAAAATCTTCCCACCAGAAGAACAGTAGCCTTTTGAGGTTTTTGGAGTGGGTTCCAAGCGCAGAACACCAGCAACTTGGATCCGGGGATGCCTTGCCAGGATATTTTGGCAGACTTTGCACCGACTGCGAACCGGGACACCGGGCCCACGGTGGGCGGTGCATACCATGCACAGAGATTCGGAACATCTCACCGGCGTGGTTGGTCATCCTGGATTTGAGATGGCAAAACTGTGTGTTTGTTTCGTTTTTCACGTGCAGTCGCCGAAGTGACCCAAGTACTGTGAAGATATGGGACACGTGTTTGCTGGTTTGGAGATATTCCAAAGCAGAAGCAAATGTTCATTTCCTCAACTTCAGGCATTGTTTGTTGCTCTTTTGGATGGAGATACCCGAAACCGAAGTGATGCCCTGCTGCCATCGTTCAGGTCTTTTTGGGATTATGCGCTACTGCCATGGCACTGCTAGTTGGTGCTGCTGCGTGGGCTGTCAGGCGCGCCAAGTTTGCCATGTGCCTAATTAGAGGGTGCTCGCTTACAAACAGGTGCGAGGCACGGGGGTGAATGAATCAGAAGACCGTAGCTTTGGTTGCAAAGTATGTTGTACATGGCGACCTCAATTCTTGCTCTTGCACGTTGTACAGTGTTTAAGAGTTACTGTAAAATACATTGATTTGACCACCCTTATATATATATATATGGGTCGAGTCTCGTTGTGTTTTCTCTTAATCTTGAAACCACCAAAGCTGGAGGCGTTCCTTCCATTCCGACCTTCGTTGGACGTGTGCGGCGCAGCTGGTCCTACCGCAGCTGGCTGTCCTCCTGCAGCTGGTGCAACTGTGGTCGGCCTTGGGACCTTTGAGGCGCTTCGTCAACGGCGAAGAGGAGGAGCAAAGCGCCTTGTACAAAGGCCCTGGCAGGTGATGTTTGATGAACAGGTCAAGGTTTTGTTGAGAAAAAGGCATCTTGGATGGATTAACTGTTTGAGTCTTTGAGTGAACTTGTTGAGTGAGTTGAGGTGACGCATGGCTAGCGTGCCTGGAGATGTCGCAGCTCACTGCCAGTGAACTCCAAAGGCTCGTGGCTTTGCAGTGCCGCTTGGACGGCGCCTGGGTGCGTTCGCTCTTCGCCATCGCCACGCCCGTGGTTCCACTGGCCATGCTGCTCGGATGCTGCTTCATCGAGATCCTTTCGCGAGGCACCGGAGGCTTAGCAGAAGTCTGAAGTCAGAGTGTGTTGAGCAGGAAACGATGAGCGTATGAACGGTCACAGTCACAGAATCAATCGGGCACATTGAAATGTGAAGCATGCATGGTGTTCCTAAACAATGAAGGTGTGCAAGAATCACAAACAATTGTCTGTGTCAAGAATGAAGACTAATTATATACATGTTTTCACACAATGAGCCAAGATGGAGGTTGATAAACCCTTGTCTTATTGGTTTTGATTTTGGTTCAACTGCGTCTCAAGAGCCAAATGGGAAAAGAAACAAGCCAAAACAGGATTCCCCCAGTCAAGCCCAAAATAGGTGATCCAATTCTGATCGTTTCCTCCTAGGAATCCAGATTGGCTTGAAAGTCTTGACGGTGCTCTTCATCGGCGGTGCTGCTGGCTCTGCGCAGCTGCTGGGATGCCAACGGACGGACGGCACAGGCTCCAAACTGAAGACTGGAAGAGCGAGATTGCCTACGGAGACAGCAGGGTGCTCACACGATTTTTCACTTGAGACTTCAAGTTCCACTTATGAGTTATGGTAGTGCGTTCCTCACAACCATGAAAAATCCGGGTGAGGTGATGGCTGAATGATGAAGACATGGCCATGGCACATCATGGCCATGGCTGAATGGCGGTCCGTGCAGTCTAAGCCCCCGTGCAGGTCAAGCGCCCTTGGAGTCCTGGGCCTTTCGACCGCTCTTTCCGCAGCTGCTGTGCTCGGAAGCAGCATGGGTCCACCCCTCAGTGAGTGGTTTCGCCCCACCAGAACGGACGATAGGTTCGAAGCACTTTTGTCCAGTTTGGACGCCTGGTTTGATGCGAAGACCTGCGGCAGACCACATCCTGCGGCAGACTCCATGTATGTCCATGTCCATCTTTTTCTTGCTGCTTTGCTGAGGTGGATTGGCTTGGTGGAGCATGTGGCGTTTGCTATGGAGTCTTAATACCTTGCTTCCTCGCTTTCCTCTTTGCCAAACAACACTTGCTGATGCTTCCGAGTAAGACCTTCACAGTGTCCTGTGTCGGTGGCCCAGAGAGGGTGACCTTAAAGCTGCAAGACCTGAACGACAAGGAAGGCGTCAAGGACAGGCGTCAAGCTGTTGTCGAATGTGACGTTGACGTGACGGCATTTTCTTGGTTCGGCCGCACGCGCTTGAATTGGTGGACATGGATTTTGCCCTTGGTTGCACTGCAGTTCCACACATGTTGAGAATGTCGTGTTTGACACTGTTTGTATATTTCGGTGGAGTCCAGGCCTTCTTGAAAGAGGCCCAAATGAATGTGTCCAATTTGCAGGATCTTCAGATATTTCCACCCAGCAAAACCATATAAAGTGTGGTTTCTGACTTTTCTGTGCAATTTTCCATGAGTCAAATCGGTCAGCGCTACGCACTTCGGTGCCAGCGGGTGCCAGGAAGAGGCGAAGAAGAAGATTTTGGTGGCCGCCGCTGCAGCCTATGTGGCTGTGCATGTGAAGAAGCGACATGCGGTCGTGGATCTGGATGAGGATGCTGCGATGCTCGGTGTGAAATGTGAGGAGCAGCAGGGACGGGTGGATGCGAGTAGATGAGGATGCATGAACTAAGAAAAGAGAGCAGAGAGAGAGAGAGAGAGATTGTATCCACATGTATCCATATGGATGCCTGAAAAGGAGGAAACAGGGATTCGCTTGTTTGAGATGAATGTGCCACAGCTGTCCTGGTGTTCTTGCATTTTCTGCACTTTGATGACCAAGGACTGTGAGTCTTGTCGAGGATGCAGAGAGGGTCGATGAGTATGACGATGCTGACGTTGGTTTGTCCGACGCTTGAGCTGCGGATTTCATCACGGGTTGAGCTTCTCATACGTGTTCCTCTTCAGCGTTCTGTTTCCAAGTGCAGCAAAAATATCTGCTGAGCTGTCTTCCCTTCGGAAGTGAGTGAAGTCACATTGTTTCAGCATACCTCTACAAGACCAATAACCTGGTTTCCGGTCTGAGGTGGATACTTTGGTGCTGCAAGCAGGACATGATGCATCTGCGCTCCGCCAAGCAGAGATCGTGCGCTACCATGCCATGTTGCGCATGCTCACGGAGCGGAGCATCCTCGCAGGCATCGAAGCGGCGCGGTCGGATCGAGCCTTGGCTTGTTTTGAAGCTGCAAGTTTCGTTGAACCTCTTTTGTTGACCTTCTCCAGATCGATGTGGGTCATTTATGGTAATTTTAGTCTGAGTGTGTAGTAGGGTCTGGGGTGAAATGTCTGTAGGCTTCATTCTTAGTGGCTTTGTCGAAAAGTGACGATCCCAAAGAACTGAGTATCTAACCTTAAGTTTGTGTTGTCCAAGTCTGATCAGACAGGTCCTTCACTGGCCACAGTTATTGCATAGTCACAAACTCAGTCTATTTGACAGCCAGCCACCTGACATCCCACATACTTCTTCATCCTTGGCGGTCACGGGCCCCAGTCAACCAGAATGGTGAACAACTGACATGCAGCCTCTTGAAAGTGCCTCGGACCCTTGTGAGTTGCGAGGTCTCATGTTGGGCGCGAAGCAGCTGCTCTGCAAGTATGTGGCTCGCAGAAGACCGTTGACCGTGGGGGTTGGTGACGCGAAGTGGGGCGAACTGACCTGAGGACCCCGGCGTCTTTCCTTGTTTTCGCCGTCCAATCACTTGGACCGCGTAGTCACGTAGTCACGGATAGCGCCTGAGTCGAGTTCTTGGGGTTGGGTGCGTCGTTTCTGCTGCTGTTGGTGGCTTTCTTCAGCTGCCCCTGATGTCGAATGTTCAAGAGCAATCCCACTCTGATTTCATGCCGCGAAAAAGAATGTCCTCAAGTCATTTCTGTTGCCCAGGGCAGCTGCCAGTTTGTTTGGCTGGAAGTCTGCTCGAAGTTGGCCTCAGCTGCCCTGGTTTCCGCGCCTTGGAGGTTGACGGAGGTCCTTGGAGTCAGAAAAAACATAAGACTGAGTTTCTGATGAGGCAGAAGGGCTTCCTTCAATCTTTGAACTTCGAACATAGCAAGCTGCAAGCTGAAACAACTTTTGAAGGCCCGAAGCTTGTTGGTGCGCTTTGGATGTTGGGTCTTTTTCAGAGGACGAGGCTCTATGCGACGAAGAGGTGAAGTGGCCTTTGATCTCGGGGTTCTCCACAATCCTGCGAAAAAAGAGCTACTAGAATCTATCAAAGACATACCGTGATCCTCCTTGATCAAAGCAGGATGAAGCACAGAACATTTCTGGGACACAAAGACTCACGTTGTTGTGAGTGAAAGCATGGAAGGCATAAAGTCTTGTTGCGTTTCTCTGTGTCCATCGACTTCGCTCAGGTCGTGAGCTCCAAAGATGGTCTTTGGCTATCAGTGGCCATCACCCTGGGCATGGCGCTGATCATTGGCACCGCCCGGCCCTTTGTGCAGCCGCAGGTGAACGTCCTCCAGACCACGTCCTTCGCATGCCCCTCGTCGGTTTCCCTCGTCGGTTTCGGCACACTAAAGACCATTTTGAAGCTTCTGCTGTAAGGGGAGAAACGAGGGGTTGAAGACACAATTGAACGGTTTTGAAGCTTGTTTCAGAAGGAGAACATGGAGGAAAAAAAGAGGAGTTGACTTCACTTCTAGGTTCATATTATTGATTTCTTTGTCCTTGATGTTTTACACGGTTTCTGGATGTATGTAGAGTGTTTTCATCATTTTGCGTCGCCTGATAGCAAAGATAGTATCAGGGTGGACACTTCCGGGTTGCAAAGAACGTGCTGGATGCTTTCAGGACATTGGGATTCCGCCATTCAGGGTCACCGCTAGCCGCTCGATTCGGTTTCATCACGGCGTGACCCGCATTTGCGAAAGACCCGCTTCGAAAGGGAAAAGATCCCTCCCACACCTTCTCCACACCGCTCTGACGGATGCCCTCAGAGCCTCGGATGACCGGCGGCGGAGGCTTGGCTCTGGCGGCCTTGGGTTTCCGCTTCTGTACTTGGCTCTCACGTGTCGCGCTGGCTGTGCCGGTGCTGCTGCTAGTGCTCTCCATGCTGCGGCCGGACTCGCAGGAGGCCTTGGCGCTGAGGCTCCACAAGGAGCTGCAAAGGGTGGTGATTGATCCTTCAAGGAATGTAACATGGAGGATTTGAAGGGTGTGATGGCTGTGGATGTAGCATGTTTCTCTGGCAAAACAATCATCAGTTTTAGATCGGGCGTGTTGCAGATCTTCTACAAGGTTCATTTCAGCTAATCATCCAGATGGTCTAGATGAGACATCAGTTGCATTCACACTCTCCAGTGTACGCTTGAACATGACCAAGCATTTGATGGCCGAATTTTCGGGTTGGCCTGGTCGGTGGGGCGAGGAATTGGAGGAGAAGCTTCCCAGCGGCCCCGTGAAGGTTTCAGCCGAACAAGCGCAATTCCTCTAGGAGGGGAGCTCGGTGGCCGGAGAGCGAAGATCGCGGAGCTCGGTGTTTTGCAGAGCTCGGTGCATCTTTGCCCCCCCCCAGTTTGTCCATTTGCTCACGGGAGTGGTTCGTATTTCAGGTAATTAACTAGTTGTGTGGTGAAGGCCAATCGAACCAACTCAGACCTAGTGAGATGTGGTGAGATAGGAAGATGTGTGCCAAAGGCACTCGCAGGGTTTCTTGCGATTTCTTGCGGATTGTCCCGGAGAACGAGCACACATCACCTACGCGGCGGATGCGTTCCGAGCCGGGAGAAGGAGTGGCAAGGAGCCTGGACTGTGGCGTTCGCTCCCAACTTGGGTGACTGGTCCCTTTGGGAAGGGTTCCTCTTTTTGGGGTGTGTATTTGATTGCTAGTTGACGTTGACTGACCTTCCTTATGTGATTGTTCCATTTCTGGTCGAAAGCCAAACAGTGTTTCGGTCGATTGTCTCCGAAAGTGTTGTTCTTCTTCAAAGCTTTGGCATTCCAAAAGAACACATGGCATCCTATCGTCATCTTGCCCTCTCAGGGTGAGACGGTGCACCTGACTCAGGGCCGAGACCGCTAGGCTACTTATGCAACTCTTCCGGGAGTTCGAAACCACCATGCCACCTCTGCAACCTACTTGTATCAGTCAATGAGTTGCAGAAACCCCTAAGACCACACGCCATGGTCTCCTTCCTGCTGCAACATGTGCTTAACAACGAGTTGCTCGTTGTTCTGTTGCCGTTTCTGCTTGAAGGGGACCCAAACTGTAACAGCTGTAGACATTGGACAACAAGGAATTCAAAGAGCTTCTTGGTCCTGAATAATTGTATTTTTCAATGGTTCTCATGTATTGACTTGGCTTTACATGACTTGGCTTGACTGTTTGTCTTCTTTTCGACCCATGGCCGGGGTCTCCCGGGATGGCAGCTGAGACCGGTCACGGAACCGACCCCAAGTGGTCGGGATCGACTTCAAGGCCACTGCGCCAAAACGCGAAGTATGGGACTGGACTGGGTATGGAACCCCTATGGGAGGCATTTTTCGCATTTTTCGTTGAGAACATTCAGTAACAGACTCAGCTTCGGAGATTGCCGCGACATCCTTTGGACCTCTGTGTGAAGTTAGAAGGATGTTTGCGATAGAGGTTGACTTCGCAGATCGGCGTTGTAGTTTCGGGAGTGAGCCTGATGCGATGAGAATCTGTGTTCAATGTTGCAGGTTTCCGGCATGTGGCAAGTTTGGCGAGAACCTTTTCTTCATGGAGCAGCACTTACACCCAATGAAGCCAAAGCACAGGTCTGAACGTAGGGTGAACGTCACCCTCTGCATTTTGAGGAACTATTGACCACCACACGATGACCTTTGAGACCTTTGAGTATTTGGTTGGCAGATGGCTGATGAGCTTGAAGCAACAACCTCAGACAAAAGCATGCGTCGGAGATGCTGTTCTATGGCAATCCAACGGTCCCATTAGCCTGTTCCGGATGTCAGGATAACCCTTGTGTTGAGCTCCCTCTTTTTTGATTTCTTTCCCTCTCTTCAGCAACCTTCCATCTCGTTTTTTACATTTTTCCTGATCTGAATCCGTAAGTCACCACAACTCGGTTGCTTTTCACTTTGCAGATCTTTCTTGCAGTCTTGTGGGCTCGGCTGCCAGTCCAAACACTTTTTGCTGCTTGCACACTTTTCAGCCTCACACAGCAGAACTTAATGCAGCTTAAGTCTATAAGTGAAGTAACTTTCTGTGACTTACAGATCAGCTCACAACCTTTTGCATTTCGCTCAGTCCCGAAGCTTGATCTTGAACCCTTCCTGATCTTTGATTGATTAATTGATGTTTCAGTAGTTGAAGTGACAGGAGTAGGTCAGGTTTCCAAGATCCACCCCGGAGGTGCCCCAAATCGGGCGCGAAATCTTGGATCATTTCATGTGCCCTTCACTGCCAGGCCGTGACCGTCTGACCGTCACGGCCGCCTACGGCGACCCCTGCGACCCCGGCGACCGACGACCACCAACCCGGGTGACCCATGCGACCGACGGCGCGCTCTCGGTGCCGCTCTCGGTGGGCCGAAAGGGATGAAAAGGAAGGGAAAGGAAGGGCGTTGCTAAGCAAAGAAGCTACTAGTAACAAGGGCATCGCTACCAGCAACAAGGGCATTACTAGTAGTAAGCCAACGGAAAGAAAAGGATGAAAGCGTGGATTTCGGACTAAAGCGAGGACGTGGTCTCAAGAGTGATTTTGTTGGGCTTTTTCTCGTAGAGTTTGGAGTTTGCTACGGACGACTTGGAGATTCGCATGAAACGGCCCACAGCTGGACTTCTGGTCTCAGGCAGGTTTACCTTCCACCGTTCTTGAAGCTACTGAATGAGAAAGTTCATCACAGACATGCAGAGCCTTGAAACGCAAGTAGGTGAGATGCGGAGCCTTCAACCTAGCTTCTAGCTTTTTGTGTCTTGGGGAATGAACAGCTGTGGTCTGTCAAGACCCTCTCGATCAGCGACCTTGCGAAGGAACCAGACCGATGATCGCGCGATGCAGTACCAAAACAGCCCCCATGTGGGCACCGAGAGGGCTTGGCAGGGTCTTGATTCTTGGAGGCAGTTCTTCATCAATGTTCGCTTCGGAAAGGATGACCGATGTCCCTGACCGAATCGGCCGGTCTGAATCGCATCAAGAACGTTTCAGTACAATGAGAATCCACCAGGAATCTATAGACAGTTCCAATCCGACCACGTCTGCCGGATCTACCGTGAGTTCTCTACTGGTGGATCCACCCTGCGCAGGCGTTCGACTCTGCCTGCGCAGGCGTCACGCCCAGACAATCGGTGGACTCCTGGTTTCAGATCGTGGACGCTCGGCTGACCGGCTGGGCGCTTGGCAAGCGGAGGCAGGCTTGGAACGTTGGAACAACTAGTGAATCATGTGAATCTACCATGTGGCTTTAAAAAACTTGTCTTGCCCAGGTGCTCGATGTTAGATCATGTTGGTTTCAGGCCATTGTGCCTTTATGATTCAATTTTGTAGATCAAGTGGTAAAATTCAGATCAACTTCGTTCAGAATGAAAGGGTGGGCCTCAGCAACTTGAAAACTCACCCTAATCTTCAGAGTTGTGGGGAAAGACTTGATGCCAAGCAGGTGGCCTACAGCAGGACGATGCCTCTGCCAGTGATCTCGATTTGTGGAGGTGCCAAGTAATTCACGCATTCTTGCACTTGCTGAGGCTTCTAAAGATGGGAGTTTTCATTCTCACCTGCCCCAGTCTTGTCCCGCTCCATCACAGCCAGGTGTTGCCAGGTTCTCTTCAGTAACTTGTGCGAGAGGCACTTGGTGGCGGGTGACTACAGCGCAGGTTGCAGTACCTCGGTTCTCTCTGCCGAAGGGTTTCTTGCAACATTGGGGACTCCGAAATACTTCAAAGCTGACATTGGTCGCCGGCCACGCATGAGGAACTGTCACAGGGATTGGTCAAACAGAGACATCCGGATTGGTCAAAGGGGAGTATGTCAGGTGTTTCCCCTCTTCCATAAATGGTTTGTTGCACTGGAGTCTTCACGGATGAAAACACCAAACTCCACCAGGCAATTCCATACCATCCTCATTTATGCAATCCCCCGATTAACGGTGGACCAGCACAGCGAGGCAGGAAGGTCACCGTGCTCGAGGGTTCCTTATTCTTCACTCTGCGGATAGTGTGATACACCCGTGTCAAACTGGAGTCACTCGGCGCCAGTTTGGTGACTCTAGTGGTCCCCTGAATAGATATTTTTACACTCTATCTATCTGGGGGTCCATAGATGAACATCAGTCACAGTCAGAGCTTTCTTTCTTCGCTGTGCGGTTCCTCAGCCCGCCTCGCCATCGGTCAGAGATCGGGTTGGGACGGTGGATGGTGGTTCACATCGGTTTGATTTCAAAGGTATGGATGGGCCGCCAGAAGAGATCCGTGACTTGGCCAGAAGCCCAAAAGGACGACACTCTGGGTTCTTTTGGTGACCTTGGAAGAAAGAGAAAAGCATGAAACGCGTGCTCTCAAGAAATGTCTTGGAGACCACAAATGACTGACAGATTTCTTGTTCACTTTGCCCTCGGATCGTTGCAGCCAGCGAGTGCTCAAAAAGAACACTTCGCAGGTGACAACTTTGATCACCACAGGGTCATCCTTTTGATGGCGAGCATGGCAAGCCACCTGGTCATCCATATGTTGGCGGTTTTCACCAGTCAGAAGGCACACGCTGCTTTTACTCCAAGCGTGGTTGGCCAAGCCCTAGAGCTTTCTTTCCCTTCCAAATTGTACGGAGCGAAAGGAGTAGCTTTGCAGGGCAACTATGCCTATCTTGCGGCTTCGAGCTACAATGGTCTCACGGCAGTCGACATCGCAGACCCAACCAACCCAAGCATCGTAGGCACCGCTCAATCAGACAGCATGTTCGCCGGAGCGTCTGGAGTGGCTTTGACTACAGGCTATGCCGTGGTTGCGGCTGCGGGCTACAATGGTGTGAATCTCGTCGATATCTCAGACCCAACCGCCCCAGTGAGAGTAGATGGGGTTTCAGATGCCTCGTTGGGCGGAGCTTATGCTGTATGCATCAGTGATAATGGCTACTATGCCTATATCGCGGCATCAACATACAATGGCATGACAATCGTTGACATTTCGGTTTCAGGCAGTGTGTCACTCATAGTCGGAGGTAGCGGAGGTACCATCCAGGACGCTCTTTTGACTGGAGCAAGTGGAATAGCCACAGTTGGCAGCGTAGTGTATGTTACTGGCAAAGACTCTGATGCTTTGGTGACAATTGATGTTTCAAATGCCTTTACTCCAGCGAAACTCGGTTCTGTCACAGGCACAGAGTTAGGCCAGGCAATAGGAATTGCCGTGGAGGGCAACTATGCCTATGTCGCTGCATTTTCCACTTCTCCATCTAATTATGGTCGTTTGACGATTGTGGACATCTCCGACCCTACCAGCCCAAGCATTGTAGGCAATGTCGAGGACAGTCAACTTGACGGAGCTCAGGCAACAGCCGTCTTCAGCGGCTATGCTTATGTGGGATGCTCCACGAAATTCATTGTGGTCAACGTCGCCGACCCAACCAACCCATCCATCGAAAACGCGGTCAGTGATACCAGAGTGATGGGAGGAGCAGGCGTAGCCATCAGTGGCATCTATGTCTATATTGGCGCTTCAATCGAAGATTCTTTGACGGTAGTCCAGATCGACCCAGGAACAACCAGCAGCACCACCACCTCCAGCACTTCCACCACTACCACATCTACCACTACTACCTCCTCCACCAGCACCA